CCCCCTCCCCCCTCCCCCCCGCCCCCGGTACCAACAGCCAATGTCCGGGTGCGAGACTTCCGTCCACTGGCCGCCGCCGCTGCCGCCACGCTCGCATGGCACTTGACCGTGGTGGCCCTCTTCCTGTCACTTTTTTTCATGTCCTGGAACGCTCTTGACCAATCCCGGGGAGCCGATGCCCGTGCAAGTTCCCCGGCCGCACTTGAGGCCCCCCCGATGCATGCTCTCCTACCCGAGGCCCTTGATTGCCCGGCCTTCCAGTACTTCAACTTCTGGCCCATGGGCCAGGATGACCTCCTCTCCCCCGGGGAGGGGACGCTCTCCCCCTCGTCGGGGCCGTCGTCTCCCATGTGCGAGCATCCGGTCGTTCGCCGCGCAACCCTGGTCCTTGGGACCGTGGCACTTGGCTCTGCCGCCGCCGCCATCCTCGCCACCCTCAGCTGGTATCTGCTGGTGGAGACCGGATCGGCCGGGGCCCCCTCAAGCGAGGCCCACATGCCCGCAATGCTCTCAGACCTTTTGGCCCGACACAGGACCGCCTCCGATGGCCCCCGGCTTGGTGGGCCCTTCCGCTTGGCCGGCCACTGGCTGGCCGATGTGGCTTCCTTGCTGCATGCCAGTGTCCAATGCTTTGGGCACCTAGCTCGGCACATCCTCCGCGAGCAGCTGATCGACTGTGCGTCACTCTCCTGTCCCCCGCCCCCCCCCCCTTCTCGCTCCTGGTGCGCGTTGCCACGCCGCAGCAGCGCCCTCCCCCTCGGCCGCCTCCCTCCCTGACCCCCCATCTCCCAATCAAACAAACAGGGATTGCCCCTCCGATCGTGGCTTGCCTCGTCGCGCGGTCCTTCGTCCCGGTGGCCCTGGCCGCCTTGTCGCGATACTCCAATGACACGATCGCCGCCCTGGGCATCACCGTCGGCGCCGGATATCTAGCTGCACCGCCCTATCGGGAGTTCTCCACCCCGCCGGCGGCTCGGCCTGCGCCTCCGGGCTCCCTCTCGCCCCGGACGCCCAGCACTCCGGCCACGCCGGGCCCCCTGCCGGCAGGGGCCCCCATGGCGCCCGCCTGCTCGCCACTTCGGCAGCGACTTCGCCCGGCAGCCGAGGCCTTCAGCCCGGCGGACTTCCTGGCCTCTCTGACCAGCCATGGCAACACCCTCGGCGGAGACCTCTTTTCCGTGTCGCTGGCCGTCCTCGGGGCCGGGCTCGCGGCCTCCCGGTTGGAGGCATGTGCCAGCCTCTCCAGTGCCCTCTGGGCAGCTGGGCTTTTCCTTTCCCTTGCCTGGGCATCCATTCGCCGGGCGTCTTCCCTCGGCGGTGATGGCTTCCAAGTACACTTCTCTCCCTCGTGGACGCCTGCCTATTTGGCCTTCCCGCCCTTTTCGCCCCCTCCCCCCCCCCCCCTGACCTTCCCTCCTTCCTTCCCTCCTTCCCTCCCTTCTGCGCTCAGTACCTTCCGCCTTTGTCGACCCTCCTGGTGCCGATGACCTGCGTGGCCCTTTGGAGTTCGCTCCCCGCAACTGTCAGCAGTGACGTGGTGTACCTGCCGCTGCTCCCACCGGTCTCGCCGGCCCTCATGGCTGTTCTTCTCTATCTGACCGTCTGGCTGGGAGTGGTCTTCCTGGCGCCGGCCTGGCTGATCTACTCCATGCGCTGGAAGGAGTGCGTTCTGGCCATTCTCACACGCATTTCTCACCCCGGTCTCCCATGGCTGCCCCCATGTCTGCTGCACGCCCTGACCCAAGTGCCTTCCCCCTCGTTCCCACTTTCCTGACCCTCCCCCGTCTGGCTGCCTCTCTTTCTCCCCTCTCTACCTCGACCACACACACACACACACACACGCCCAGCGAGATCAAGGGCCCTTGGGACGAGGCAGTCATCGTTGTGGCGCAAAGTGACGATGGGTAGTCCTCCTCCGGCCCTCGCCGGGCACGAAATCCCCCTGTTGGTCACCCTCCCCCCCCCCCCCCCGTGGACCAAGCCTCCAACAATACATCTCTCTGTTGGGCGATTTCGCCAAAAGTCGCGTCTTTATCACGATGCATCTCGGTGTGTTGCCACCGGGGGGAGGGACATTTTTAGTCCGTATACGCGGTGAAGTGGGCCACCTGCCCGAGACCCCGGCGCGTGGGTTTGGTCGACGCAGTACCGGCATCATCGGCCCCGGAGCCCGGCAAGCCAGTGCCAGGTGGATGGTCAGCCGACACAGACCGGCTGGGCACCGGCGACCCGGCTCCCAGTGGGGCAGATGTCGCTCCAGCTGGAGCCGGAGCCGGGGCCGCAAAGCGCTCGCCAATGCGCCGGATCAAGCGAACCCGCTCGGCCAAGTGCCCCAGCTTCTGGGACTCTTCCTCGGATTTGCCGCTGGCCGAGGAGGCCGCCCAGAACAGCTGGGAGATGAGGCTCGCCTGCATGGCCGTCGATCGGACCACCGCGGGGAGGGCCTTCTCCGAGACCATCTGCGTATGGCCGAGCACCGGGACCGGAGGTGGGGCACAGGCCGAAGGAGGGGCCGGCGCAGGGCGAATGATTAGAAAGGCCCAATGGGACGGCACAAAGAAAGGGCGCCTGGCGTGTGTCAGTGGCCATGGCGGTGGCACGCACCCGAGGCGCGGTAAATGCCCCGAAAGCCGGGATTCCCGGCTTACGCAGGACACTCACCCGGAACCACCGGTCCGATGAGCAAGCCGCCGATGAGGACAATTGGCTGCGCAAATCCAGCGCATCATCTGGCGCCCCGCCAAGACCGGCTGGCGGCTCGGCCGCCGGGGCCAGGCTCGCCTCAAGGTCACCCACCGGACGGATGACAATAGCCACATGGCCAAACTGACCAGGCAGGGTGTCCAAATCGAAGGGGCGTGTCCGAGGTGGGAAGGAGCGCACGCGTGCCGGCGGGCGCCGTGGAGCCGGCCCGGCTGGGCCAGGGCCCGGTTTGTCACGCTGCTCCGGGCCACGGGCTGGCTGGGCCTGCCCGGCATCCTCTTCATCGTCGGATGTCCAGTCGCCGAGATCTTCGTCGTCGCAGCCGCCCGGGCAGCCGGGCCCCGCGTCGACTGGCCCCCGGCCAGCCGCCAAGTACGGGCACAGCCCAGCACCAGGACAGGGAAGTCGCGAGGCTGATTCATCAAAAACCACCACGACATGGTCATTCCCAATGTGGCGCTTCTTGTTGACCCACGAGTACGGGTCATTGGGGTCTTCATTTGGCGTGGCAGGTGCCCAGTCAGGAGACGGCATGCTGCGCAACCAGTGGACGCTCATTGGCCCTCGAAGTGCGCCCCCCTCCTGTGCCCTGCACCAAGTGGTGTCCCCGCCCCCCCCCCCCCCACTCGCCCCCGCTCGCCCCGCCCTCAAGCAAAGAAGGACCAGTCGAAGCGTACCACTCGGCATAAGAGTTGCCACATGGAAGATGCACTGGGCCCCGGCAGCAATGGACGACCCGCCGGAAGTGGGCGCCCCCCAGGCCAAAGCCCAGCGACCATCGAAGTCTCCATGGGTGTCCAGCCCGCCCGTAGCCAGGCGGGCACCCTTCAGCCGAATCAGCCGGCCAAGCGACAGGAGAAAGCGCAAGTAGGCTGCCGAGCCAGCCGGGTTCGCCAAAATCTCATCCTCCTTCTCCTGGCCACGGCCGATGTAGACGACGCCAATCTGGCCGAGGGGAGGGATTTGAAGGGCCGAATGTGCATGCGTGAATGCATGCAAGTGTGTGGATGTGCAGCATGTGTCAGGGTCCAAGGAGGGCCTCTGCTTCGAGCCCGGAGGAGGATGAGGAGAAAGGCACGCACCTTGTGCAGCTCGATGCTCGGCACGAGATCCAGGATGCCAATGGCCCGGCGTGCCGCGGTGCCCGAAGACAGCAGCGTCGGCGGCGACCGACCAATCGCCGGGTAGGGTGACAGGAAATGCAGGAGATGGAAGGACGGCGGCAAATTCCAGTCGGTGTGCGAAGAGCTGGTCCCGAGAGCCGGCCGCGCGAGGGGCGGCGGTTAGGATACCGCGCGGCGATGGTGGGGGAAAAAAATGGCCCGACAGAAAGAGGGTGTCCTGCTGCCCCTCTCCCGCCCCCCCCCCCCCCGAACCCCGTAGGCCAACATATGTACCTGCCACTCGTGGGGAGGACAATCTCCGGCAAGCCGGTATCCATCGGTCCAAGGGCCTTGCAAATGTACCGCAGGGTGGCCGATGGCTGGCGAATGATGAATTCCACCAGTTGGCCATTGGCCCCGCAGCCTTGCCGAGGGGAGGCACTCCCAGCACCAGCATGCAGTACCGCCCGGCAGTCACATGTCCCTGAGCATGGGGCAGGCCCGATGGCCGTGACACTGATGATGGAGGTGCCATAGTGCCACAGCGAGGTCCGGCCACTGGACCACCCCCGGTCCAGATCCTCATGCGACCCAACCAGAGCATCGGCCGCACGCATGGATCCCGGGGGCGGCTGATCGGTCGCCGAGTCCGACAGCCGGACCACCAGGTCCAGCGCCGCATGCACAAAGTCCCAGCGAAGCTGCGCCGAAGGGGTGGACCCGTCGCTCGGCAGGGACCGCAGCAGGCCGGCCACAATGTCCGAAGCCACGCGACGACGAGCGGCCCGCGTGCGCAGGCCCCCGGAAAACCAGGCAACCAGAGCCCGGAAGGCCTGCTGCTGGGCATAGTACGACATTAGCAGGGCTTGGTCGACCGAGCCACGGGCCCCGGCGGCTGTGGCCCCGGGCCCCGGAGCCGGCACATCTCCCGAGGCCGGAGTCGTCGACACCGCCGCCGAGGCGGTCAAAATGCGCAAGATCACTCCAACGGCCACACGGACATCGGCCTCATCGGCCTGGTCGGCACTGTCGCTGGGGCCGCCGGCACCGGCCGAGGCCGGGCCACTGGGCCCGGTGGTCGCCCCTTCCGGCCCACCTGGAGCCAGTTGCGTTCGACCCGCATGGAGAGTGTCGGCCAAGCTGTCGGGAGCCGGCCAGGCCGCCTCCGCGGCGCTGGTCAGGGCCTCGGCCACCGCGGCCCGGAGGCCACCGCGTGACCCGGCCTTGGCCGAGGCTTCCAGCGCTTCGCGACGAGTGGCCGCGGCGGTCAGGCTACCGCGCGGCTCATGCGCCGTGGCCAGTGACAGCGAGTGCACCGACGCCGCGGCCACCGCCAAATTCGAATGGCGAAGGCCATGCTGCGCAACCAGCTGCAGGGCCAATTGCCGATCGGTGCGCGACAGACGCGATCGGTGCAAAGTCAACCCGGCCCCAAGGATGTCCAGGCAGAGGGCGGTGATGTCAATCCGGCTGGCTGCGGATGTGGACCCGGCGGCGGCCACCGGCCCGGCACCGGCCGAAGGGCCGCTCGTCGCCGAGGGAGCCGGCCCACCGGGAGTCCAGGCAGGTGACCCGGCGGGCAGGCTGCGTTCCGGCGATTCGACCGCCAGCGCGCAGAGGAAGGTCACCAGCTCCCCGAAGGGAACTTCATGTTGGAGGAGGAAGCGCCGAAGGCGAACCTCGGCTGCCGGGGCCAGGGCACGGCCGATCCCGGCCCACAGGGGAGCCTGCGAGGTCAGCACCGTTCGATCGGTCCACAGGGCCCGGCAGAGGAGCTGTCGCCGCAGGGCCGGCAAGATGGCCGAATGCAGGACGGCCACGCGTGCCGAGCCGGTCAGAGGGGTGTATCCCTGGCGCAGGATTTGGGCCATGCGCCGAGGGTCTCGCAAGTCGGCCCGTGTCAGGCTGGCCAGGCTGCCGCCACGGGCGATGGTCCCGGCATCCAGGGTGTCGGCCGACAGCCCACCCTGGCGCCCGGTCGCCTGGAGCCCGATGATGGCTCGGATGTACGCCGCGAAGGGGAACAGCGGGGGGAGCCAGTGCCGGCGGAGGTCGGGCCCGCCACCGGCCACGGCCGTCGGAGAAGCGCCACCCTCCAGCAAGAGTAGCCCCTGCACCCGATCGACATACACCTGTGGCACGAAGGAAAACACGCGTGACGAGCAGAGTGGCCAGGCCCGGGGGCCGGGCCCGGCCGGCTCGGCGGCCTGCTGCTGCGGGAAGTCAAAAAAGGCGGTCGAGTAATCGAAGACCGTCGGATCATACCCTGATTCATTTTGTTGGGCACCGCCAACATCCCACCCGCAGGAGTACCGGCCATCGGGTGAGCCAAACGCACGAGATCCAATGGGCGAAAGCGGAGAGGGGAGGCATAAAAAAAAAAAGAAGAAGCACACGCACACAGATGCGTCGGCCCGGCGAAGTACACCCGGCCACAGGTGCGCGCGCGAACCGAACCCACCGCATCCCACAGATGCACCAGATGCTTGATGGGCAAGCGCTTTGGGGGGGAAGGGAGAACGCGAAGTGGCGAGCGTCAGGAGTCCGCACCGACTGAAGGGAGCTCGCCCATGTTTCTTCCAAAGAAGGGGAGCCAAAAAATCCAAGCAAACAAACAGGTGCCCCCCCCCCCCCCCCCCTACCCAGACATACCCCATCCACGCCGATGCGCAGGATTCGTCGGAGGACAGCCGACGTGGCAATGGCCGAGGCACCGCTGTACTCGGCGCTGCCTTGTACGGCCTCCAGCACGGTCTGGTGCATTTGAGCCGCATTTTCATGCTGCCCAGCCGGCGGCAGGGCCAAGACCTTTTGCGGCACACCGAGCACAGCCGTGTGTAGCAGCGACGTCAGCAGGAAGACCGCCAGCTGGGAGAACACTGTGCGGGAGTGTCAAAGAGGCGAAGGGGGCGGGGGGGGGGGACCAGGGCGGGGAGGTAGGTTAGAGAAGAGCGGTCCTCGCGCATCGGGGTGGGCACGCAGGGGGGGCCGAGCACGCAGCGCACCCGGCACCCGGGAGAGAGCCGCCAGGCAGATGAAGTCCAACAACCGACAGAGGCCCACCAGGGCCGGGTCAGCCGGGGACGAATCGCGCCCAGGGCCATCGGCCAAAAGCCCGGCGTCCACGGCGTCCTCGTCGGACTCGAACCCCCCGCTGGCTGCCGACAGCAGGCCCTCCGAAGAGGAAGCCGACAGCTCGGTCGGGGTGCTGGCCCCGGAGGTGGGTGGACTGCCTGAGAAGACGCTCCCCGGCGAGCCGACCGTTGCTCGGAGCTTCAGGAACTTGCCAGCTGCTTCCTTCGGGGGGCTGGCAGCCGGGCTGCTGGGTGGCGGCGCCGGCCCCGATGCAATAGGGGGTGCGTCGCCCTCGGTGGGGCCCCTCGGGGTTGGGCGCGATGCGGCCGATGCCGTCCACCAAGGCCGAATGTCTACCAACAGGCGTCGGGCAAAGCGCCCGCACAGCTTCAACGCCTTGATGGCCAATGGCAGACTGTGCGGCGCGGTGCTTGCCGCGGGACCGGACCCGATGGTGGCGACGCTGCAGCAGCGGCAGCGGCAGCGGCAGACGCAGCAGCAGCAGCAGCAGCAGCAACAGAAAGAGAGACGCACAGGCCGGGCGAGTATGTCAATCGACCGGAGGCAGCCGCGAGGCAAGCTTGGCCGGGAGGCAGCAGGGGCAGCAGAGGGGGCGAGAGTATCATGGACGCGGCGCACTGCTGGGTCTGGCATTCGGACAACGAGGTAAGCAGGACCCGGAAGAGGAAGGCATCTCCAGCCGACAGGGCCGCCGGGTGGACATAGCGTGTCATGCGGTCCAAGAAGACCAGCGCCTCAAGGAGAATGCTCCGCACTGCCGGGCGATCTTCCAAGTGAATGGCAGGGACGCGGGCGCGAGAGGGGCCCACCTGTTAGCGGGAGCATGGTGGAGACGGGAGGGCAAGCCAACGCGGGAGGATGGGCGGGGATTCGACGGGTCTCCAGGAATCCCGGCCCTGAGAGTCACGCACTGTCACGCTCAAAAAAGTCTTGAGCCAACGATTCAACCGCCTGAAGCCACTTCTGATCGGCCTGCTCCGAGGAGGCCGGTGCGGCGGGGAGACCCGCACCCGCGGGCCGTGTCGCAAGGCCGACCGAAGGGTCCTCGGTCAGCAGCGAGTCGGCCGGGTGCGCCGAGCGGATCCGGCTCCGAAGCAAGCGCAGGGTGAGGCGCTCATCCAGCCGGAAGCCCGAGTGTAGGCCCTCCAGCCGAGCGGCCGATTCCCACCGGCGACGGATGAACTCCAGGAGCTCCAGCAGCAAGTGCGAGTCGCCGGGGAAGTAGTGCGTCCGGCCGGATGCCGGCCCGGAGCCCTGGCCAGATGCCAGGGCCCCACCCCGGGGGAGGATTTCGTACGGCGCATCGGCCGGCAAGTGCCAGCCATGGGGAAGGATTTCCTCGCAGTGGGAGAAAGCACAGTGGAGGACATTGCGGAAGACCGACGCCGGATGCGGGCCACTGGTGGCAGTCTGCCAGAAGCGGGCCAGTGCCGCACGGGCCGCGGTCGGAGGCCGGACGGGATTGCCTTGGGGCGACTCGGTCGACCGGTCGCCAGCTTGCTTTTCCCCTGCCACCAATGGCAGACAGCCAACCAGGGCCATCATGGCAGCCACCAGCAGGGACCCGGGATGATCCTCGCCCGGGACTTCGCCAGGCAGGGCGCGCTCCAGCAGGCCGGAGTACTCTTGCCCGGGCCGGAGGCCAACAACCGCTTGAATGTCGGCCACCAGGCGCCCCAGAACGCCGACGGGATTGTCGGACGCGCCGGCCCCCCCGACACCAGGCGGACCCCCTTGATGCGCGAAGGTCACCGGCGACAGGAGCAGGCTCCCGGACACCGATGGCAGGCAGCCGGCATGTGAACTGACCAGCGGATAGGCACCCAGGGCCAGGCGTTGGGTGTCCCCCGGATGGGACCCCTCGCCGGCCAGGTCCAAGCAGCGCCGACACACGCATGGCGCCGGATACAGACACCCAATTGGCAGGATGGTAACCAGGCGGAAGTCCCCACTGGGAGGGAGAGCTCGAGCGGCCGGACGCAGCAGCGCCTCCAGCGAGACATTGCGCTTCAGCGAGAAGGACATGCGCACGCAGCGCCCGGACAGGACATCCAGCGCAGGGACCAGCTGTTGATCCCACACGGAATAGGTAATCTGCGCATGTGCATCCATGTTTGCGCGCGCGCGCGCGCGCGTGTGTGTGTGTGTGTGTGTGTGTGTGTGTGAGGGGGAAACATTTGTCAGAAAGCATACTCGGGGCCCTGTGAGCAATGGTCCCCCGAGAGCATGGGCTCCCGCTGGGGTCTCGGCCCGAGGCGCACCTCATGGCCGAAGGTGGCCAAGGCCAACGACAGAGCATGCATGCTTTCAATGTCGACCGCCAGCTCCAGCCGACTGAGCAGGCAGGAGATCGACACCTCGGCGAGGCAGCCGCCCGAACATTCATTCTTGAGGAAGCTGGCTGGCAGGGCGAAACGCGGCCGCTGGGCCAGAGCACCCAGCGAGGAAATGACCATGTTGACAACGGCCGCATTGGTGGCCGTGTGGAGGAATCCAGCGGCATCGGCCGCCGGCCCGCTGACCGGGACACCACCGAGGTCCAGCGAACCACCAAGGTCGAGCAGACCGCCACCAGGGCCGCCAGCACCGCCGGGCCCGCCGGAGACATTGCCCACCCCGCCGGCACCAGCCGCCCCATCGTCCGCGCGAGCATACGTACCGGCCGCGGTCACGGCGCCGGCCGCCCCGCGCAGGGTCACCAAGCGTTGTGCTTCGCGGCGCGCCCACAGGCAGGACAGGTGCAGGTTGGATTCGAGCGCCAGCTGGTCCGGTGGCTGGGAGGACTTCAGCATTCCTGGCAGATCCAAGCCGAGGACCCCGTCGCAAATGGAGCGCAGTGTGATGAAGGACAAGTGCGAGCGCGTGGTCAGCAGGCAGAGAGTGCGCCAGGCGGCCGAGGAGAGCCTGCGCCGACCGGCCGGCCACAGGACAGGAAGCAAGCATCGAGAGGGGCATTAGTGGCGGTTCGCTTGGGCACAGGGCGTCACGGGCAAGGCTGAGAGACCGAAGCAACATACAGTGGCGACCCGGTGGCCGTGCAGAGACTTGCCACCACCTGGCCGAAAGAGTGCGCAGGCAGGGCCGAGAAGCGGACAGTCGAGTCCAGGAAGTCCAGGCTGATTCACGCGCGGCAGGAGGGGAGGTGATCGGAAAGCAGGGCGGAGCTAGGTCAGCCGTGGAGCACGGGGGGGGGGGGGGGGGGGGGGGG